ATTTAAGAAACATGCAGTACTGCCAAAAATGGTAGGATTGCAATAAGCCAGTTTTTAGTTTTCAATTATTGTTTTGTATTTACATTGTTCCTGTTCTAAAATGTTGATTTTGATATTTAACATTTGATTATTTTTTWAAAAGAATCTTTATTATTACGTATGTGAATAACAAGCAAATTAAACATTAAAAAGATTCAGTTTATTGATTGTGTATGTGAATGTTTCCAATATCAATAAATCAGATACTAATTGAACCTCTCAGTTAACAAGTCATGAACGGGAATTATATTCAAGATATTTACAGTGCTCTATTATTATTGAGTACTTTATAATAAAACCAAAAAGTTTGGGTTCAACATCTTGGTTTGTACAAAATTTGTTTTTCACAAATATTTAACTTGGATATTTTTTATGCAACTAATAACCGGTTATCTTGTAATCATAACTTTCATAAAAGAATYACTGTTTTTCAAGATTGAAAATTAATTTTAAAATTAAGATGAAAAAGTAGTTCTTATTCATAAAACAAAAAAGTGAAACCAGTCTAGTTTCTTAGGCTAGAGTACTTAAAAAGCCAATTTTGGCTGGTTCTTAYAAGAGGGTTGTCACTGTAATGGTTTTTGTTGTTGTTGTTGTTGTTTGTTGGGATGGTGAGGGTTGAATATGCACATTTTACTCCAATTAACAGAATTATTTCTAAGGCTGGTGAAAAATCAATTTGATCTGCAGAATTGTTTTACAGTTGTTTCTCAGCCTGATGGCATTACAAGGCTATGTGAATGGTTCCTTGTGGATGATTGYGTAACTTAACAACCATTCACTGCAATTTTTAACAACTCGTCATACATCTGTAATGCTTCTCTCCAGTGTTCGGGTTTATTCTTATTAAGACTGCGAGTAACATAACGAAAATATTCTTGGTAGTCATCATCTTCTTCCTTTTGTACCAGATGAGTACAAGCATAACTTATGTCATGTTGTGAAACTGGTACAAGTAAGTTATCAATACCCCCATAACTTTCAGGAAGGTGGTAAATTGCATCAGGTCTTCCTGCTACAGTATCATGGCGGGATTTCCTTATATAGTGACTATTCCAAGAATTGCCGATCCTTTTCAGATTGATTGAAGTATCAAAAACCAAACAAAACCAAAGACACTCTAAATGAAGCTCGTCGGCAGTGTTGAGTACTCCTTTCTCTATCATGTCTTTGAAAAGGTTCATCCACNACGCCCACAAAGCTTCAACAGATCAGAGAAGAAACAGAAAGAGACCCAACATTGTCTCTACTCAGGGAGACCGTATTCAAAGGATGGCCAAGCCGACGAAGTGAATGCCCAACTCCATTACATGACTACTGGAACTTCAGAGAAGAACTAACCATAGAAGATGGAATTCTACTCAAGCAAGACAGAATTGTCATCCCGCCTAAACTACGAGTTGACATCTTAACTTCAATACATCAAGGTCATCTAGGCATTGAGAAGTCTCTCCTTAAAGCAAGATCCTGTGTATATTGGCCTGGGATCACAAAAGACATTACGCAACTTGTTGAACACTGTAACGCATGTCAAAAGTATCAAAAGAAGAACAGAAAAGAGCCAATTCTGCAACCTGACACTCCAAGTCGACCATGGGAAACACTCAGTTCTGACCTATTTGATTTCAAAGGTAAAACCTACCTGCTTGTATCAGACCAGTACAGCAAGTTTCCTATTATACGCCAACTTACCAGTACAACCTCAGCAGCAATCGTCAACCACCTCAAGAGTATATTCTCTGAACACGGTATACCATCGCGTCTTATGACAGACAACGGACCACAGTATGACTGCAGAGAATTCAAGTCCTTTACAGCAACGTATGGCATAGACCACGTGACTAGTTCACCACTCTACCCACAGTCGAACGGATTTGCTGAGCGAATGGTGCAAACCATTAAGAACATCCTGCGGAAATGCGACGAACAAGGTGATGACCCCTACCTGGGAATCTTATCTTACAGAACAACACCAGTAGATAGCCACCTTAAGTCACCAGCAGAACTCCTCAATGGTCGTAAATTCAAGACAACTGTACCATCTGCGCAAAGAGCCTTCCATACTGGGAATGATAGAGACCAAATACGACAAAGTCTACTTGAAAGGAAGGAAGATCAGGGCAAATACTACAATCAGAATGTCCGACCACTACAACAGCCACTACGAGATGGGCAACCAGTGCGTATGTATGACCACAAGAGGAAGACCTGGGAACCAGCGACGGTACAGCAGCCAGCTAAAGAACCAAGATCCTACCTTGTAAAGAGGACAGATAACGACACGGTGTACCGCAGAACCAGATCTGACCTACGACCAGATACAACAGCACAAAGACACGACACGACAGCAAGACCGCAAAACAATGAGCAGATACAACACAGCAACAAGGACTCAAGCACGCCTTGTCATTATACCACTAGACATGGACGTGTTGTAAGGCCCCCTGCAAAACTAGACTTATAAGACGCTTGTAAAGAGAGGGGGATGTAATGATACGTGCATATATAATTAGTTCAGTTGATTGACAGTTTCACATGTAATATTTGTCATATGTAAATTAGTTCGTTAGTTCGCTCGCTAACCTACATCATGTGTACATGTTGAGTTAAATAAACTACAGTCTACCACAGAAGAGTCAATTTACATATACCACCTTCTCCAACCGGACAGACGGATACAGACAGTTTTATTGTTAAGGAAGCAGACATCGCTATCAAGAAGGCAAGTAGCGGGCGTATTGTTAAGCTACCAACCAAGCTGAATTTGTTTATTGGTTCCCGCCTGTCATACTAATGGACATGTTTAACTTGTGCTGGACATTCTGCAGTAAAGGACTAGTAGAACTGATCACACTGAACATTTGTTGATATTATTATTATGTATTATTTAGTCACTATCAGCCTATTTAAGTTTAGGGCGAGATGTCACGTAATGGGCTCCCTGTGTGTAACCATGAGCATGGTCTAAGCTCCTGGATGGGACCGACTCTAAGTTAAATTAACACCAGCAGTATGAATTATATCTCTACTCTGCTTGTCTGTTAAACAGAAATTCGTTATTATTATTATTATTATTATTATGACTGAGTTGACCCATGGTGTGAATTCGTTTTGTACTTTAGTGGTGATTCCAAGATCTGTTAATCTTTCCAGCTCTTTCTTGTATGCAGGTTGATATTGCGCCTTGATTCTCGGGAACTGAATAAAGATGTGAAACGGAATGCATACTACGCTCGAACAGTAGACGATGTCATACCTGAAGTCAGCGGTTCTACCCACTTTAGCATCTTAGATGCAAGGAGCGGCTATTGGCAAGTCTTACTTGATGAAGAAAGCAGTAAGCTATGCACCTTCAGCACTCCTTGGGGGAAGTTCAGATGGAATCGCCTTCCATTTGGGCTGACCTGCAGCGGAGACGTCTTTCAAGAAAAGATGGACGCCATGTTTGGATAAGTAGATGGGCTAACCGGAATAGCTGACAACACTTTTGTCCATGTGAAAGGTGAAGATGATCATGATCAACACATACTGAACACTCTTGACACAGCAAGAGATAACAATGTGAAATTCAACCCGGAAAAGTTCCAGTTTAAAGTTGCTAAAACATCTTTCTTCTGGTTAACGTGGACCTCAGAGGGTCTCAGACCAGACGAGAAAAAAGTGAAGGGCATTGTTGATATGCAACCACCACAGAACTTAACAGAGTTACAGTCATTCATGGGAATGATCAACTACCTCAACAGATTTTCTCCAGTGATAGCACAGACATCTGAACCACTGCGTCAGCTGATGAAGAAGGAAGTACCCTTCGTATGGCAACCAGAGCATCAAAAAGCATTCCTTGATCTTAAACGTGTAGCACTGAAGCACCAGTATTGGCGTACTACGATGCAAACAAAGAAAACGTGATCCAATCAGATGCGAGTCTAAAGGGGTTAGGNTGTTATGCAAGCCGTTCACTCAGTTATGCTGAAAGAAGATACAGTAACATTGAACGTGAACTTCTAGCAGCCTGCTGGTCGTTAGAGAAACTAAATCACTATATCTATGGAAAGAATGTACGTCTGGAAACTGACCATAAGCCGTTGGAGAGTATCTGAAAGAAGAGCATCTCGTGTGCCTCACCTAGACTACAAAGACTAGACGTTGATGTGAAGTACATACCTGGCAAGATCAATGTTGTGGCTGATGCGATGTCGCGAGTAAGCCACATGGGGGCTGCGACAGAAGATAACGAGCTACCGACAATTGAAGTTGACACAATCACAAGGACACTTCCAGCGACACCTGCGAAGTTGGAAGAAATTCGGGACGCAACAAACAAGGATGAGACACTATGTCATCTAAAAGACCTGGTATATAATGGATGGCCAGAACTTTTCAAGGACTGCCCAACAGATCTGAAAGACTACTGGAACTACAGAGAGGATTTAAGTGTCGAGAATGGCCTGGTACTTAAGGGTCATCGATTGATCATACCGGAAAAGCTTCGGGCAACRATGCTTCAACTTGTCCATCAAGGCCACATGGGTGTAGAAAAGTGCTTACTTCGGGCCAAAGATTGCATGTTTTGGCCTGGAATATCGAAAGATATTAAGGAACTCACCTCAAGTTGTTCCACATGTATGAAGTATGCAAAACAACAACCGAAAGAAACACTACTCCAGTACAACCTACCAAGTTTCCCCTGGCAGATGCTTCGCTCTGACCTGTTTGAYCACCGTGGATGTCAGTACCTACTGCTCGCTGACTACTTCAGCAAGTTTCCAGTAATCAGAAAGCTGAACATTATAAACCACCTGAAATCAATATTCGCGGAACATGGAATACCTGAAGAACTGGTAACAGACAACGGACCCCAATATAGCAGCAACGAATTTGCAAAGTTCTGTTCTAGCTGGGGAATAAAACACACAACCAGTTCACCGCTCTTCCCACAAAGCAATGGTTTCAGTGAGAGGATGGTGCAAACGGTGAAGAACCTCTTGAGGAAGGCCAACGACGCGGGGGTAGACCCTTACATAGCCCTAATAAACTATCGTACTACACCTGTTGATAGCAAGCTACATGCACCTGCGAAACTGTTGAAACAAAGGGAGTACCGGACACAGTTACCATCAAGTGGTCGCCTTCAACGACTAAGGACCAACGATGATGACTTGCTACAATTGCAAAAACGTCAAGAGACTCAATGACAACACGGACGATATTTCAGGAGAGAATTAGAAGGTTTGTCACCTAGACAATCAGTTGCTGTTTACAACCCATCGTCAAGGACTTGGACTACTGGTGAAGTAAATGAAAAGCTTGGTGAGCCACGATCTTATGTTGTTAAGACTACTAATGGTTCCGAGTTGAGACGCAATGGTGTTCATCTAAAACTGGTACCACAGAAACAGACAGCGGAGCAAGCTACGCAAGCAAGCATGTCAGAGTCCAAGGAACCACCACCTTCTATGCCACCTTCTCCAACCAGACAGACAGATACAGACAGTTCTATTATTAAGAAAGCAGACATCGGAATCAAGAAGACAAGTAGTGGGCGTATTGTTAAGCCACCAACCAAGCTGAATTTGTTTATTGGTTCCCGCCTGTCATATTAGTTTAACTTGTGCTGGACATTCTGCAGTAAAGGACTAGTAGAACTGATCACACTGAACATTTGTTGATATTATTATGTATTATTTAGTTACTATCAGCCTATTTAAGTTTAGGGCGAGATGTCACGTAATGGGCTCCCTGTGTGTAACCATGAGCATGCGTAGTATTGTGTCTTACAASCACATGGCTGAGTTCTCATGTTATGTAGTTATGTAGCTGATTAAACGGAGTTTCTAACCACAACTAGTATCTCCACGATACGTTTACACTTCTGAGATAACAGAAACAATCCTTCTCAGCGAGGTTTATTTCATCAGAAGTCTTTACAATGGAAAACGTTCCATTCATGAAATAACTAATAAAACAACTAATTTTTTTTCATATCGTACAGAGAAACCAGAAAATACCCATGCTAAGAACAAAATCAATGTAAACAAGACTTCCGCTGGTTTCGGAAGAACTCGTAAAGACGAAAGACGAGATTCGCCGGACTTCAATCGTCGGAATTTGAATAAATTAACGACCTCGGGGAGAAGGATTGCAAATAGTCCTTACCAAATTTCTCATTCCCATTCTCGTTTCATCAGTTTTATTCCCGATAGATTGATGATTGTGTCATTGGGGTTGCTGTGACACAATCATCAATCTATCGGGAATAAAACTGGACAAAGAAGAAATGGCACTCCTCAAGCGAGGACTCAAACATAGCCTGGCTAAACATCCATCAGAAGCCCATATGGTCTCCATTATGGAAGACGTCTGGCACCAAATCAGAAAACTCAAAGTCATCAACTGTAATAATTTTCTCTATCAGAAAATTAAGACAACATTGAGAATGTTCACATATGGCTATCTTGACTTACCGGATAAACAGTTTGACATTGATCGCAAACGTATTAGAACAAACAAAAATCTCCGTAAGAAATGTGTTCTTCTCAAACCAGATAAAGGACAAGGTGTTGTTCTTCTGAAAAAGGCTGATTATACATCCTCAATGGAGAAATTATTCGCGAACAAGACCAAATTCAATCAACTTACAGTCGATCCCACTAGACTAACGTCCCTGCGCAGTTACCTTAACAAACTACACAAACGCGGAGAAATTAGTGAAGATCAGTTGGATGAGATGAAACCTAAGGCGGGCCACATTGCAAGAGTTCATGGACTACCCAAGACTCACAAGGAATATTCCAATATTCTTCCTTTTCGTCCTATAATTGACACAACTAGCACTCCATATAGCAACGTAGGTAGGTTCCTCTCCAAATTACTTTCACCTCTAACTCAAAATGAGTTTACTGTTAAGGATTCGTTTAAAGCGGCCCAACGTATATATAATATTGATGAGAGTTATTTTGATCAGGGCTATAAGTTCGTTTCTTTTGACGTCACTTTTTGAATCACTTTTCACTAATGTCCCTTTGACAAAAACAATAAATATTATTCTTGATCTCGTGTACAAAGATAAGTTAATCAACACCTCGCTTAGTAAGAGATATCTAAAGAAACTAATAGTAGATTCTTGTAAGAAGACAGCTTTTACATGTAACAACAAATTGTATGAGCAAACGGATGGAGTATCGATGGGATCCTCACTAGGTCCTGTCTTAGCTAATATAATAATGACTGAATTAGAACAAGTCGTTTCTGAGTTAATTAAGAACGATGTTATCAAATTCTACGTCAGATACGTCGATGACACTCTAGTATTAGTTAAACCTAATGACATTGATAAAGTACTAGGTAAACTTTCCATAAGAACAAGTTACGTTTTACTGTAGATACGTTTACTGACAACAATGTCCATTTCCTGGACCTATCTATAAATAAAAATATCACTGACCTATATTAGAGATGTTTCGCATAAGGACACTTCGTATGCAAATGAGCCACTATTTGTATATAGTTCGATTTCTTTTGTAAATGTAAAGTACACATTGCATTTTTATTTTAAGCTTTATTCGAACGAGTACAACTGGCAGATACGAGGACATGAATGTTATTGACACTTAATTTGATATTTCTTCGAATAATACAACATGTCTTTGGGCTAGGAAAGTGCAAAGCTCTACTATCATAGGTTGAAACCAACGAGGATGGCGCCAAATACTGCTTACTGCTCTATAGGTCTTAAAGGTCAAATTGCAACGGAAAATTCGATGATTTTTTAACACTTGGAAAAAGAAGTTCTTGCTATGTTCAATACATACGCGAAGCGAGAAAACCGGAAGATTTTTATTTTTCGAGATATCAGGGATTGAAAAGTGTTGTATTTCCGTTGACCGGTCGTTCATTTTCGGTAATTAATCGGAAGTTAGTCGGAGACGCCTCCAATGACGTCACAGATGGTGCCGGTTTTTCGACGGTACACTTCCCGCCACCAGAACACAGGCCGTGTTCGACAAGAATTTTAATGCTATAAAACGAAGAAAAACTCGACATTCTTATTGTGGGGAAAGCAGATGCCCATACTTCAACTGTCGAATCATCTACTGTCGAAAAAACAACTAACAAAAATGGTAAGATTGTAGATTTTGATAGCCAATTTTGTTTGAGTGATCAACACTGAAGATAAGTTAATACCGCCGGCTTTGTAGANTCCTCATTTTCCGCGTCGCTCTCCGCCATTTTGAATGTCCAACTGTATACCAGGCTATGTAGCATTCTAGTACCCAGCAGGGTCTGGGTACGAGAATGGGAATGAGAAAGTTGGTAAGGACTATTTGCAATCCTTCTCCCCGAGGTCGTTAATTTATTCATACTCCGATGATTGAAGTCCGGCGAATCTCGTCTTTCGGCTTTACGAGTACTTCCGAAACCACCGGAAGTCTTGTTACATTGAATTTTGTTCTTAGTATGGGTATTTTCTGCTTTCTCTGTACGATATGAAAAAAATTGCAAGTTGTTTTATTAGTTATTTCATTAATGGAACGTTTTCCATTGTAAAGACTCTTCTGATGAAATAAACCTCGCTGAGAAGGATTGCAAATCCACCACCGTTATATCTTTGCAATCTCTCTGCCCGAGGTTTTGACATCGAATTGTCAATGTCACGCGCGCACAAGTAGTACGCGCTTTATATATTTCGAATATTGAGTCTTTTTTAAACGTCTTATTTTGAGTTTGCCGATATGTCTCCAAATCAACGTAACGGAAATCTTCTCGCGGTCGTCCACGCCGGAAAGAAGAAATAACTGAAGGATATCACGTTCAAAAGGYCAGGTCATWGAACCTTGGAAGGAAACAAAGGACAGAATGGGTCTTTTACAGTTGAATAATAGTGAGTTTGTGGAACTGTTGCTGACAGTGAGCCTGCGAGTCGGCGCGGTGTTTTTGTTCTGCTACACGAATTTTTGCAAGAGCAAAACTATACTGAAGCCACTATAAAAATACAAATCAGCCGTTATTTCTACTACCAAAGAGAAGACGAATACTCATTAATGATAGAGTTARCTAATATTGCACTATTACTCCTTTGGCAAGCTTGATCGGTCGCTCTAGTACTTCATCTTGTTCGGCATCCGTTTCATGGCTCAAATATTCAAAGAAACGTCTAATTCATCACCTAATTAGCTACCGATGACCCAAATGCATTCACAGCGTGTAGTTTTGGCCATAAACAGGCATTTTAAATCGAGATCTAGTAAGAAGGTTTGAAAATATTAAAGATACTTTGGTATTATTCCTTGTACACGTTGGACAAATGCCGTATGTAAACAATAACATAAGCGCGCAAACCATCACCCTGGGACGGCTCCTTTAAAGGGCCTGGAAAACACTACATTGGGTCCTCTTAACGGATTTTYAGTATTCAGAGGTAACTTTGTTCAAATTCTGCATACTGGAACGTTGCACTGGGTGTGCACCGCAAATTTGTTTACTCATGGGAACTTAAAGAGCAACCACATCGACTACTACGACASTCTTTTTTCGCCGTCACGTAAACGGCTGGCGTCTGCTGTTGAGAAGCAGGTATGTCAATTTCTCTACACCAAATAAAAGATCGATCTGTCAACGTCAACATTGCACCTGTTCAACAGAAACAGTACAAACTGTGGTCTGTTTGCCATTGCTAACGCCACAAGTTTAGCTTTTGGACTATGTCCGACAAAACTTACCTATGACGAAGATATTATGAGAAASCACCTAGTAAGTTGTTTTGACATTGACGAAATGTTACCTTTCCCGACGACGACACAAAAGATCAGACGATGCATATACCACATGCAGTTTTTTCTGGGGAGGAGGCGGAGTGGGTGTGCAAAGCTTGTAGCTCATAGTCAGTCACAAGGTTCAAGGTTGTGTGATATCCAATATTTGACCATTTAACGCCCAGAATTGTGCGTGATAGTGTTGTAGCCAATATGTTGCAGGAACTACACTTTTTGGAAGTTGTATTCAATAATCAACTCAAAAATGTTTTCAAACCCCCATGCAATTCTGTCGAATGATAKGGAATAGGTCCAAGACCAAATAGGCTCATCCTATTGGCTTTGAAAGTGGACATTTCTGATATCCACTGTGTGCACTTGTGCCTTAGATTGACCTAACGGCTTTTACTGGCCTTTTGACGCCTTTTACCTTTTTTAAATACCATATAACCCGAATATTGATTACACACTATTATTGGAAACTGTACTTTGAAGCTTTGAAATGAACTGATCCCAAATCGTGAAAGTTCGGGGTGTGGCATGGTTTTTATGTGAAATTTTGGTGTTTAAGAGTAGTGTCAAATGCTTTTCCTTAATTTTCTTATTCAAGAAAGTGTTATCATGCTACCTAAGGTGGTATTACAAATGTTATGAKAATTTGTTCAATCAATCAATTCTAGTATGAATTAAAAATTATAGATARTGGTAAATGGTTAGCATAATAGTTAATATTAGCAGTATGTGCCTTTACAAATATACTGCAAAATAGAATAAATTTAAAGTTTATGAAGGAGGAGGGTTAGCTTATATAATGATTATATTTAGCCAGTTAATTGATCTATAATTCATCA